AGCTGGAATACTGTCATCTCCACTAGCTTTGTTGTTAGCAATGCTTCCTAAGGCCCACTTAGGAACATGGTCACATGATGTCTTGCTTAATGACCACACCACTTATCTATGAATTTCCCGGTCCCTATTGTAGTCATAAATAAAAAGCTACCTGTAATGAACAACAAACATGTGAAGAGGTAAGAGAGCTCTTAGAAGAAATTTCTAAAATGTTTTCAGAGAAAATGGGAAGAATTCAATTCAAGGCCCACCCCTCAATTATCCCACCTCTCTTCTTAAAAAAAAAAAGAGTATGCAGAGGTAAATCAGTTTGCAGGAGAAAATTGGGTGTCCTCTCTTCAACTAGGAAGAATATAAATACAGAACATAGAAGGGAGAGGCCTACCACAATTATACTTCCCGCCCTTGCCATAGTGGATGCAGTACTCTGTCTGCCAAGTATGATGAGAACCAGGTTTATTTCCAAATTCAAAACAATGCAGATGTCTGACAGTGATCCTGGCTAATGTGAGGAGGCCTTATTCACCAGAATAAAGGCAATAGAGCAGTGTTTCTCAACCTTGGCGACTTTAAAATGTGTGGACTTCAACTCCCAGAATTCCCCAGCCAGCCTTGCTAGCTAGGGAATTCTGGGAGTTGAAGTCCACACACCTTAAAGTGGCCAAGGTTGAGAAACACTGCAATAGAGTCTGTTCACTGAGTAACAAACTCCCAACTGATGTAATCTAGCAGTAAACTGCCAGGAAAGGAAAAACACACTGTGAAACAAAATCAACAGTTTGGAACTCAGTGTCAATATGGTGAACCTATCTGAAGCCTTCAAGTCACAGGCTACCCATTCCTGGTTTACTATGGGGTTCAGATATCTGTACCACCTCTTTTTAGCATGACTGTGAGAAGGAGATTGCATAAATGGGCATCTGGGTCACTGGGTCTGTCATGCAAGATATACAGGGTGGTCCCACACATGGCCACTCAAACATAGATCATATCACAGATAATCCAAGTTATTCCAGATAAATTTGCTTCACCACTTTACCACTGCTGCTGCCCTCTTGTTAATACGAACCATGAAGCAACACTGTTTCGCAACTTTTTGCTACTTCCTTATTGTGCATTTCACACTGTTTCAATATAGCTACAAATATTAAAATCATCTTGGTAAAGCTAATGGGGTGGTTCCTGGATTCCTCTGCCTATCAGCTTCAAATAATGGGTGAACTGCACCTTAGAATTTTTAATTTGAGAGCTAAATCGTGTGAAAGGAAAATTTGGAGAAGGCGGTGAATCAACATCTGCGTTGGTGCAACAATTAACAAAAGGCTATATCAAACAGAAATTTGAAAGGCTATACGCAAAGAGAAATTTGACTGACATTGTGCCCAGTTCAAAAAGGATTTACTTCATGCAATGTGATTTCCATTTGCTTACCGAGAAAGGCTTACAAACCATAATTCTTCACATTGGTTAGAAAATTAGCACAACTGTCACTAAATAAACATTGTATCTATATTCTTAAATTGAGAGTTAAACTGTGTTGGAGATGCTTCAGTTCTTATTCCATTACTCCAAATTTCAGTGTTTTACCCAGTCCAAGAACACTTATGGAAAGTTAGGAACCCTGCGATACTGTACCGCTTTCCTAATGACAACTGGCTACTTAGTTTAGGAATTAAAGCCAAGAAGTTATGGAACGAAAAGCTTAGATTAGGTTCTTACTACTGTCAAGGCTGGTGGTCCAGAGAGAACTAATTAATTTGTTCAAGTGCAGCTCAGCTTTAGTAACGTAAGTGTGGTTGCTGGCTGGACAGAGAAGTCAAGAAAACATCTTGAGAGAAGGCAATGGTGATTCATTTTGATAATGCTATCGAGAAAGCTGCACGGATGCACGAACCAGGAGTCAAATTTGATTCAAGGATGTTTCAGTTCAGTTCAGAGTAAGGATGGAAGGATCTGTCATAACAATTGCAGTCTCTTTCCATTTTATTTTTTTTAATATTTCCAACTCTGTTTTCCTAATTTCTCATTCTTGTGAAAATGTCAAGATTGGTGGGTCAAATGAGATTACTTTTTAATATTTGCAAGTGTTTCACTGTACCTATGCTATTTTGCCTGATTTACACAACTTTTGCAACTGTGTACTAAACTGTTTAATTTACCACCTATAGTTCTATAAAATATACACATTTGTATACAGACTTTTGCCTAATCTCTTGCTCTCTTTCTCTTTCAGTTGGTCAAATGAGAGGTGCCTAGTAGTAGGAAAAAACCATGTTTCCTGAGATTTGTTGAATGTGAAGTCCCAACACCTCTGGAATGAAGAAGTTTGGGGCTGGTGTACACTATTCTAGGCTAGATGGAAAAGTGTATTGAGGAGACTGAACATATCAAGGAACATGTCAAGAGACATCTTCAGAAGGTATCAAGTTTACCTTCATCATTCTAGCTAAAATGTAGCTGGCGATAGATAAAAAAAAATGTTTTATGAAAGCTCTGCAAACATTGTGGACACACTTTCCAACGGTTAGAGTCAATGGAAGCAAACTATCTTCTCATACAAGCAGCAGAGGAGGTAAAATGCAGAGAAAAAAAGGTTTTGATGCCTTACATACAAGATGGAATAGAAAGAGAAAATGGAAATGCTTTCAGTTCAGTTATTCTCACTCTGTTTTAGTGGTGCTACTCTGATGTTTTTGTCTCATGTAGAAACCAGAAGCTGAAACATCCATCGTTCTTATAACCCACTTCTGGAAAAAGCTGATGCTTTCCAGTTCCAGCTCCACCTCTACTTCTATCTCTATTCTCCTGCCTCAACCAGCTTACAAATCTAATGAGCATAAGGAATGATCCAAACAAAACTCTTACTCTTATCTAGACCATTTTGCAAATAAGATACATAAAAAGTATATCCTTACCTGCTCAAGGAAGAGCTCTCTGGAACATGGTACATGAAAATATTTCCTCTCCCATTACTAGCCCAGTCCTTGGCCATATCTATGGTTGGGCAAATGATGAAGTGGTCTCTAAAAACAGTAAAGAAAGCATCCTTACCATCTGGAAACAATTAGCCTTCAACCACAAACAGATTTTAAGTCTCTTTCTTTCTGCTGTAAATCCATATCCACACACTCAGGATCAACCAAAAACAGCACAAAAGGTCTTAAGTTCTCCAGGATTATCCATCAGGTAAGGTGGTAGAGTAACCAAGAGAAGGGGAAGGAAGCAGAAACATCCCTAAAATTGAGTCAAATATTATAGCCGTAAGGTTACCAAAATGGAAATTACAGTTTGGATGAATGACTTAATACTAGGAAGGTTTAAAAGAATTGGGACAAAGAAGCCCTCAGAGCTGCATCTCACATATGCCCTGCCTCTGTTGAAAGTCACAGATTCTTCACCTGGCAGACAGAAGAGAAACACGATTGTTTTGATGTTAGCAAAGGCAAGAATTTGTCTTAGGTGTGTATTATGGAAAAAAGTAAATTGAAGCCAAAATGCTGCTTTCACAACATACGGCCTTTCCTGAGTTGGTTGGATCTGGTAGTGACGCCCAATTACCCAGAGCAAGACTTCTTCTGGTGATTCAGTGAGTGCAACCTTGAAGAGTATTTAGTAGCTTCAGCTGGTGCAAAAATATCAGCTTGGCTGCTTGCTTGTGAATTATATGATGTTGAAGCCCATATTTAAAGGTGTTATTGGTTGCCAAGGGCTTTCTGGACAGACATGAAGGTGTTGATTTTGAAAAAGCACTAAATGTCTTAGGATTGGACTTCTGGATTGTCTACCTTGACATGACACTGTCCTAAACACTAAAATTAGAGGAGCAGGCATTTTAAAGACACCTCCAGTTTCAAGGTTTGTTTGGGGGACAGTGGGAGATGACCGCCTCTTGTGTCTCCCAAGTTGCAAAACATTCTCCTTTGAAAATGACATGTAGGTCCCACTTGCTGCTCTCTGGAAGGGCATCGACACCTTCCTCTTCTTCTGCCGGTCTGTTCAAGTAAAGTTTTGTTTTGAGCAATTCAAAGGGGGAAAGTGATGGCCAGGGGAATGAGTAAGTCTAACTTCCCCACTGCTTCTTTGTGCAAGTGGTAAGAACTGTCTTAATGATTTACATAGAAAAAGGGAGTTCACAAAATACTTTGAGCCAAGTCCATTAAAGCAACTGCATTCAGATTTGATACTATGCTTGGTTGCTCTTTACCTTGGTTCAGGTTTTTGATGGCTTAACCTGTTGTGGAAACGTTTCCTTAAATGGGTCAATTCAGGAATCATATGAAATGTTGTGTGTCCATACAGTCAAATTAACGACCGCCAGTGTGTTTTAGTGGTTGAGATGTTGGACTGGCACTGGGGAAACCCAGGTTCAGTCCATCCTCAGCCATGGAAGCTCCCTGGGTGACTTTGGCTCAGTTCCTCCCAACCCAACCTATCTTGCTGTATTGCTGTTGTGGGAAATGGAAAGACAGAATGCTATGCATGCCATCTATAATTCCTGAATGAAAGGCAGGACATAAAAATAACACATCAATAAAAACATGGTGAGCAAAAGTTTTGCAAGTTTGCCATGCTCAACTTCAAAACAAGTTTGACAACCCTGCAGTGCTGGGTGAAGCCCAAAGCTTAGATGAGTAATACAGGGGATACACTAACTCCCAGAATGTCTAAAAGTCATCATCTACAGTCTTCCACACATGACCAGTCTGGGGGGCTTTGACATATATGCTACAGGCATCCTCAACCAGCCTGGAAGGATTTCAGTTACTGCTGATGGACAAAGGTTAGGAGAAGCGCTTTCCTGCTACATTGGCCTAAACATTTTGAAGCCTCCCATATGCTTTGCTGGAGCAAATCTGGTGGATTCTTTGGAATCATGCTGTCTCTGCAGCCCAAATCACTCTACTGAACAAATTTACATCACTTTCCTTACTAGGCTCACCATCCTAGAACAGTGCATTTTCAGGCAGAAGACTTCGGCATTGGTCATGCTGATTCGGAGATCTTTGTTGCTGGATAACAACTCCCATCATCCAGGTTGACTAGGGCTGATGAGAACTGCAATTCAAACACTTCCTGAGTGTTAAGGGATCTGCACTCCAACCTATACTGTTACTTCCCCTTTATAAAGTTGGAAGAAAATACTCTAAAACACACATGTACACTCTCTCATTTCAAATGAGTCAATTCCTGTGAATTCTTAAGAAATTATTTAAACTGCAAAAAAATCTCATTTACAGGAGGCCACAAATACACAGAGCTGACTGACCGCACTCTGATGTTTAGCAGTTGCACAAAGCAAATGCCCATGTTAGAAACAGATGTTCTCTGTGCTTGCGATTCTATTTGTTAAAGCTGAAGGTGGCTGGAGATTTCAGAGCTACAAAAATAGCTTTGAAGTCATACTTCCAATGCTTAAACTTCTGAGTTGTTCTGCATAGCTGTGGAAGCAGCAAGTAAATAAGAGAGAACCCAAACCACCATTTTGCTTTAGAGAGGAGCAACAAAGGACATTGAAATCTATAATGTACTTCTCTAAGCACATGGGCCCCAATCCAATGTATGTGATCTATGAAGAACCATGATGACAGAAGATGCTTCTAGATATTGGCTGCCATGAGATGCCTGGAAAATTTTGTCTCAAGCAAAAATCGGAGGACCAGATGTTAAGACTGGGGAGGGGGGTCCTCTTCTTTATAGGTGGAATGTCAAAGATTTGGGATTTGTTATTGCATCTCCCTGTTTCGACCTCACCAAAATCTGCAGACCTGTGAGCCATGGTGCTGTTTTTGCTGGAAGCAATGCAGTGCTGTTGTTGCTGTGGCTTTTTTTAAATGCAGGTTTAAAGGCTCCACCCTGAAAAAAGGGGAAATGAAAAGTAAAATGTTGCCTGAAGCAGCAGCAGACAGGGAAAATGGGGGAGGGGGGGCTGATGCTGCTTGTGGCAAGAGGGTTCCACAAAGAGGAGAAGCTGTGGTTCAAGGAGAGAGAGGATAACCAAGGAAGGTGTAAGCGGCATTCTCAGCATCTCCTGTTCAAGGATTCTTAAAATGCGGGGCTGAAATAGATCTCACCCTCAGCTACTGGAAAAGAGATAAACTGCTCCTCTGCTGCAAAATTCCAGATGCCCACGAGATGGCAACAAAGGGTTAGAGTTTTCTGTATCTCTCTCTCCTGCCATCTAGTGGTTCAATGGATTTCTGCTGTCCAAATCTGGTATGCCTCTTGAGGATGGAAATGCTGCAATCCGCCTCCCTGAGGAGAGGAAACAGGGAATGACCTTGAGGGACAGGAGGAAGAGCTGCTACCAAGGCAACAGTCAGATAAAAGGGACCTGAATCCAGGGAAAGAATGTAACGTGTGTAAACGTCTCAGACAAGCCCCTCCCTAGTTCAATTAAGATAAACGGAGGGAGGGGAGAAGTGCATTCAGACTTGCAAGATTCTACCATTATAGCTTTACAATAAAAATAGTACTGACCTACATGACATTGGTGTCCTAGTCTCATCTACCTTGAAGGGCTGACCCCCTGTTGCTGGCAGGAAAGGGGAAGTGGCTTTCTCTTTGTTCCAGCAAACATCATCAAGATTGCTATTTATGAGATGAGGAAGGCCCAGCAAACAGTGGGTGTTGTGAAGGCACTGGGGCCATTCATATTTGTCCTGGGAGGTATGGCTCCAAGAGCTTAAATCTAAAACCTGATGAGATCTTGAGGCTTCCAAATCAGCTATCTTTGCCATTAAAGCATCATGGATGCACTTGCGCTCCACGTGTGGAAGGCTCTTCAGGTGATAGAGAGGAACTCACTGGGAGAGCCTTCATTTTCCATTTTGAAAGTCTAATGGCCCTTTCGAAAGCTGGGAAAGAGTCTTGTTTCAAACCCTATCAAAAGACAGCCAGTAATTGGCTCCATAGACTTGGTATAAAGAAGTTTCTTAGGAAATGAAAAAGTGCAATAAGAAGGTAGTGAAAGAAGAATTTTGGAGAGGATCTCAGATCAATCCCTGTCCTGAGAAAAATTCTGTTTTGAAACCCTGGAGAGGTTGAAAAGTCGGGTACTGTGGATTAATATTACAATGAAACCAGAATGATTTCTACTGGGCTTTACAGATGTTGAACTAGAAAAGAAATATGGGAAACTAATACTGTATATGGTAACTGTGGCAAGATTATTGTATACACAAAGATGGAAGAATAATGAAATGCTCACAGTAGAAGATTGATTATAACATTGACGGAACTTGCAGAGCTGGCAAAGCTGATTAGTTTGGTCAGGTAAAAAATGATAAAGACTTTTTTGAAAGACTGGAAGCCTTATATGGAGTTTTTGTTGAAAGAAGAAAAGACTGAATTGATTATTTATGGATTTGGGGATTGAAAAGGGGAAAGAATAAAAGGGCAGTTTTTACTCAAGAAGGGCGGAAGTCATAATTCTATGTTTTCTTTTTTCCCCCCACTTCTTTTCTTCTTCTTTACATTTTTATTTTTCCTTTAATTTTTTTATACTTTTCTTATATTGAAAAATTCTAATAAAAACATTTTTTTTTAAAAAAAAAGAAAAGCCTGGTATAACCACATGGACTAGATGTTCCAATGGGTTGACTCAGTATAGCTTCCTATTGTCCATTCTTAGTAAAGCAAGCATTATTAGAGAAGACCCTGATATTCAGAAGAATGGTGAAAAAGAGGGTGGCAGAAGAAAGACAGTTAGATACTTTCAATGAGGACAACCAGGAGCTTATCAGAACTCAAAGAAGCAGTCACTGATAGATAATCCCAGGGACGTGATATCCAAAGTTTGGAAGGAACAACAACCCAGGAACTTTTAGGCATGGCCTAAAAACCATTCCCTTTCCCCCAAAATGTTGCCTTGATTTTGATCCTTGCTTGATTTTAACTATTTGTTCTCCTGCAATCTTTTTCAGCTGCACGTTTATCTGTTTTTTTGTTTTGGAACAAGATGGGCCTTCAGGTCCAGAATTCTTCCTCTGAGAAGCTTGAGCTTCTTCTAACTCAAGCAAGTGTAGCTTTAATTGAGCATGAGACTCATGGCAGCTGGAAGGAACTGAAAGACCAAAGAATAATAATGTTCCATTTGTTGGTAAAATGCCACTTCTGGCCATACTAGTGACCTCAAAGGATCTACCAGCATTGGGTCATGATCCAATGATGATCTCTGTTGTTTCCAAGGATGGTTTCCCCTCTCCTTCTCCTTTTCCATCTTTTTTAAAGACTGTGGTTGGGTCTGTTGAATATGCCTACACTGCTAACATGTATGGCATTGCATTAATTCATTTTCTGGGTTTGAACAATGTACTATATCATATACTAACCAAGCAGGCTAGATTCAAACAGCACACTGTGTCACAAAAGCTAACCTACATTAACACTAAGTAAATTCAGGATGTTATGCAGAAAGGTCTAAATAACCAGGTTAAACATGTTGCAGAGATGCAACCTGCAAGAGATACTTTTTATTCTGAAAACCATTTTTCAGAGAGTTTTTCAGGGTGAAAAGCAAATGATGATGGATACACAGAACATTCAGCATGCAGGTTATGTGAATTTACATTTAAATACTTTTTTCTTTCTTCCTAGTGTTTTTCCCGCAGGCACAGGGTCCAGTTTTTTTGTTTTTTTGTTTTTTTGATTAACTGAATGCTGATCCATTGGTTGCAACAGGAATTGACTGACTGGCTTGTTGCCCCAGTCTGACGTCGTGGGCTGAGAGAGAGGGACTGGCCCAAATCACCCAGCCAGCTTCTATGCCTAAGGCAGGACTAGAACTCACCCTCTCCCGGTTTCTAGCCTGGTACCTTCACCACTGTGTTCTTGTTTCTGGTGTTTTTTTTTTAGACTTTTTATCCTACCTTTCTTATTTTTATAAATAACTCAAGGTGGTGAACATACCTCATACTCCTCCCTCCTCCTATTTTCCCCACAACAACAACCCTATGAGGTGAGTTGGGCTGAGAGAGATTGACTGGCCCAAAGTCACCCACCCGGCTTTCCTGCCTAAGGACTAGAACTCACCATCTCCTGGTTTCTAGCCTGGTGCCTTCACCACTAGACCAAACTAGCTCTCCCACTAGACCAAACTGGCTTTCGTTCTACTAATACTTCTACAATAATATTTTTATTAATTGATTAATAACATTAGTATTAATAATACTAATACAATAATATTTTTTTGCTTTAATGCTGTCATTGGAGCTCTGGAACTGATCTATTTCTCAAGCTTTATTTCCTCTCCTCTTATTTCCTTTTTCCTTTTAGTTTCACAAAATTGTAACTTATAATATTGTATTCCATCCTGGAATACAATATAAAATAATACATGAAAAAATATATAAATTTTTCTCTAAGTTCCAGACCTTCCTTAGTATGCTGTTGATTGCTTATAATTCCCTTTTCAATTATCCTTCTGCCTTCAGCAAACTTAAGTCTAAGTTTAAGCAGAGGGCTGTTTCTAATGCTGATCTGTTGGAGGTGGGACAGGATCAAGGAGAGGCTGTCGGAATGGGTGGAGGGGAACCCTAAATATCACTTGCAGTAATATCTTACCCCTTCTCTGATTAGAAGGAAAAAACTTCATAGCAAAGAATGAACAAGAATTGATATCCTGAGCAGCAGATGGAAGTTGGTTTCTTATTTTTAGACCAATGTGGTAAAGCAGCCCAATTTAAACTTGAAGAAATGACCTACGAGGAGCCAAAGAAAATGAAAGCAATATTCTTAAACTGCAAGACACTGTATTTGAGGGCTACAGCTTTACTGCTCTAAATGTCTTTCTTGAATGTGCTGGAAGGATCACAGCCCATAATTTAAAACTGAACTCAACTTGATATATTTATCCAAGAGTTTGGTTTTCACCTCTTCCCTCTTCTGTACATGTACACCTCTGTAGGGGGCATCAAAATCAGCAGCTCATCCATGATGCATTGTGAAGCTTGATTGCTTGCTTATTTATTTATTTTCTGGCATTCACCACATACTGAGCCACAATTCTGATAAATTCATGTGTCAAAGTGTTGAGAAGTACAGTGTGTGTGCCTTGGATGGGGGTGAGGATGTTGGAATTCTTCTACAGCAGAAAAAGTGCACTTATGATTTAAAAGAAAAAGAAAAAAAACTACCAGAGACACAATCTGATATTTACTTACAATGAACTCATTTCTTGGCTGCTTCCAAACTGCTATCAGCCACAAAGCCGCAGAATGTTAATTAACAGTTAAAGAGTTGAATTGGAAATATTAGCAGGTATGGAGGGGCATATCCTAGAAGACAATACTGCTGGCTAGCTGGCCAGAATCCTGAAACACCATGACCCTGTACTAAGATCGTATTTATATATCTTGCTTCCTACAAAGTAATGGCTTGTTCTAACAAACCATCATTCATTCATTCATTCATTCATTCATTCATTCATTCATTCATACGTTCATTTATAAAATTTATATAGCTACTCATCTCACCAGCAAGTGACTCTGGGCAGCATACAACAAGGCTAAAACAATCAATAAACACATTAGAAGATATAAAAACCAACTTAAAAAAAACAGGTGAAGGGATGTTAAAAATAATGAAGCCACCTCACTAATTCCCCCGTCCCCTGGGGTCCCCTGACCTGCTGGCATAACCACTTCTTGAGGAACCTCCGGAAGCTCAATGGTGATGAGACCAACCTCACCTCAGGGGGGAGCATATTCCACATTGTGGGCGCCACAGCAGAAAAGGCTCACCACTTAGTGCCCACCAGACATAGCTCCCTGGGTGATGGAACCAATAACATCTCTGCTGGATCTGGTAGGATAGGCAGCTTGTCCTTCCAATTCTTTTTCTTTTCCATGCTTCCTCCCAATCCCACCCTTCTTTAAAAAGAGAGAGAGAGGGAGAAACTTACCGAGTGGCATTTTCCAATGCCCTGGAGAATGAAGCATACTCAGTGGATGAGTGCTGTAGGGAATAAAACCAGGTGACTGCATCCTGGATGAGAAGGTTGGACTCTTCACCTCCCAAAGAATTTTGGAGAGCCTGATAAAAAGCTGTTTTGCTGTTGGCGCGGCCTTGGCTTTCTTCAAAACGCTGATAAGAGAGGAAAACAGCACTCAGAAGAATTCAGAAGGCCAGTTCATGCTCAGAAATGGCTGTTCACCACAATTCTGTCCATAAAACTATGCAGTAAGAAAAGTGGCTCAGATGCAATTTGCAGTTCTGTAAATTAGGAGACCATAGGTCACAAATCATTGCACATTATGAGATGTTCCAAACATCTACCAGCTCCATTATATTCTGCTTTGGTCAGACTTCACCTTGGGTACCGTATCCACTTCTTGGTATATTTTACCCTGGATTCAAAGGAACTGAACAAATGCAGGGAAAGGGAACAGGGAAGATCAGGAATAGACATTAAGTCCTATGAATAGAGGTTGAAGAAGAGTGTAGGCTTGGAAAAGAGAAGACTGGGTGGAGATGTGATAGTCTTCTTCAACTTTCTGAAAGGATATTGCACAGAAGAAGGTCAAAACCTGTTTTCTATTGCTCCAGAGGACAGAACACAGAATAATGGATTTAAGTTCTAGAATGACAGGTTCTGCAAGAGAAAAGTCCCTAATGGTTTGATGGTGGAAACAGTGACTCAGAAAGGTGGTAGCCTTCTCTTCATCAGATGAGTCCCAGAGAAGGCTTGATAGCAATCTGTCTGAGATGTTTTAATATGGATTGCTGCAGCGAACAAGGCACTGGACAGAATGGCCTAAATGGCATTTCCAGTTCTAGGATTCTGTGAAATGAAACCAGTTACAGTATTCCCCCAATGCATCCTTCTGGGAGAGCTAATGGACAGCCTCTTGAAATATTGGCGATGCCTCAAGTCTTAACCCCCCTCCTGCTTCCTCCCTAAAGTATATGACTTAAAGAAGAGCTATTTTAAGAGGCTGGAACGAATTCCAGAACTTGCACTCTGGGAAGCTTGGAAGCTGCAAAGCATCAACCTCATTATTATTTTTATTCCTAAAAATATCTCTAGTGCCCTTCAGAGATCCTGAAGGCATTCTTAGAAATAAATATGGTCAAGGGCTACAGGTTTGTTTCTCCAATTGCTCAACCTAACCCATCAGGATAACTGGAAGGCTGAGAGGGAACATCCTGGGGACCACAGGGGAGTATCAGAGAACAACCTTACTAGTTTGTCTTCTGATGAAATGGAAATATAATATCCCCACCCATTACAGCAGTCATTTTGCAGGAACCTCCAATACATGATCTCTAAATTCCAAATGAGCCGCTTTTCCCCAAGGATTGCAAAGCCCTCAGTGGGGCTGGTTTGGGTTTAAGGACAAAAGCAAGCAGGAATCCAAAATTACAGAAGAAAGAATGATGTCCTTATTTTAAAAATAGTCTTTAAAAATACAAATATGGTTTTGCATATGTAATACTACAGCTGCTCAGAATCTGGAGATGTCTGGAGGCTAAAAAGATCCTGACCTAGCACAGAAATTCAGGCCAGACTCTCTAAGAACGACATGTGGTACATGAATCATTCAGAAATCCAGCCAGTAATAAAAAAAGTTTTAGTTCTTCATCCCCATTCTCAGTGGAACCCAAAAATATTTCAAAGGGTTTTTGACTCTATCTTTTCCCCATCATTTAAGCAAATATTTTTGTAATATATATGTATGTATGTATGTGTACGTACACACACACACACACACACACACACACCCCTTCTCTTTTTAAAGACGATGTTTTTCCCAGCCCCAAATTATTTTTCCCACCTCTGCAGAGTAATTTCCTGAAAAACTGGGAATCTAAGAATTCCCCACTGCACCATGTTGCTGATGGTTAGATATACTACTGGCTTAAGAACTTGATCTGAATAATCCTTTTCCAAGTCATGCCAGAGCTGACGTCTATTAATAAACTATTTTTATTTTTTATTGTAGGCCTAACTCAGAATTTTTTTTAAAAAGGTTCTGGTTTTTACACTAAAAATTACCATGGACATGTAGCCCCAGGTTTCACAACTGTCACACAAACACATTGAGGTCAATTTGTGTTTTGATTGAAGCCTATAGGTTGTTGATGGACTATTAATACAGTAGAATGCTGTTAATTCATTAAGGAAAAAACAACAACAGCTCCCCAGTTAGACAATCATGGAGAAGGCAAACTGGAATCGTTCCTTCTGCTTTCAGTCTTCCATGTGTAGGTTTTTTTTAGATGCATTGCTCTGAAACTATTGCCAGGATAAAATAAGATCCATTTTCAGGGAAGTCTTCCATCCAAACAAGAGAATTTTCCCAATTTTATGCAGTTGGGCATGAAATATTTCTTTCTTCTTGAGATGCCTATGAATGAAGACGGTCTCTTTGAAAAGTGACCACTGCTTTTAAAAGACATCATCTTAGCATGACCATATGACAGTTAAAGAGTTAGAACTGCTTTTATGAAGTAGTTTCCCTTTAAAACAAAACCAGGAATAATGAGATATGAAGCAGGGCATATCCAGATATCAAAGAAAAGTGTTACGTTTCAAAATAAACCATCTAAAAATGGTTCTGCTAACTGAAACATTGCCTATTCCTTCCTACCCTTAGAGAAGGTCTGCATTTCGAACAAAAGCATTTCTTTTTCTACTGGTATTAAACATGAGCATGACACATTTCTGGGTAAAAAGGATATGAAAGCAATCTGGCCCAGCATCTATCACCCCACTGATCACCAGAGTGAATTCTGCTGATCTGACTGACTCCACAGATGTCTCTAGCAAAGCTACTCGCTTGATGGAAAAAGATGACTATCTCAAGCAGAAGGAACATATTGCTTCTTGGTCAAGAGTATACAACAAAAAAATCAATATGATCTACAATATGAGGGGAGAATTTGATTCATTTGATATGTATCTGCTCTTTCTGGTTGCAAAATTAAGAAAAAGTTGGTTTTCTTCTGATACTGGTCTTCATCCAGAGATAGTCAATGACATGGCACCCTAGGAGATGTGAGCATGAAAAATGAGTTGGGAGAGAGATAACATAGTTTGGAATTTCAAAGCTGACACTGACTGGTCTCTGATGAAAAAGCAAATGAGTGATTTTGTAATATCTATTGTTCACGGTTCCTTGGGTAAAGGGAGTTACTGGAAGAAGTTAGAAAGCGACACTGTAGAAAATGGAGAAATGCTCTTCTCATCTGCTTTCCAGAAGCAGATAATTGCATGTTGGAGGAGTGATGAGAACTACTAATAGATCAGCACAGAGGGCATTCCAGAAAAAGAAAAGGAAAGCAATGAAGGTGGAATCAGATCTCTTGGGACTTTGAGATGAAAAGACCAGGAAGGAAGGGGAAAAAAAAGATGTGGGTCATCAGTTCCATTTTTGAACTGTTCTTAGGAAGTTTTTTTCCCCTAAAATTGAGTTGGATTCAGCCTTTTGGTAACTTAAATCCATTATTCTACATATACAGGGCGCAATATACGCTGAAATCAGTGTCTGTACCCTGAAATGAGAGGGAACAGGTCTTGATCTTCCCCTGTATTTAGGGCTACCAGATCTGGGCTGCAAAAATTCAGATAGCTACTAGATAGCAGCAAAAAGGTGCAGGAAAATCTAATGCTGCTGCCACCTAGTGGTCATCTGGAGTTCTGCAGTCTATGTTATGTGGAGTCCTTGGGTTTCTCTGAGCTTGGTTGTTTTCTTGCAAACATTTCGTTACCCGGCTAAGTAACATCTTCAGTGCTAGAATGGAGTGGGGTTTGCTCTCTGTTTATATACTGTGGTTTGCCCTGCCAATGTTGGGGGGGGGTGTTCCCTTCCTG